TATTTTAGTCTTTTTATAATAGAACTATCTTTTTTTTTTTAATAAAATATATAGTTTTTTTTCGTTATTTTTTTTTGTTATTATTTACGATAAAATAATTAAATATTGTTTTTAAAATATTTTTTGTCATTAGAATTTTAGTTTTTTATGAGTACGATTTATGTTAGTACCATCCTTCAGGTGCAAGCTGTTGAGTACCTTTGTATAAAAATATATTAATTCTTTTTTCTTCATTAGATAACAAAATATTATATTTTTCATATGTACAAATAATTAACTATTTTAAGACTATTTTTACCAAATAATTGTATGTAATTTTATAAGTAAGACGCATAACTTTTTGGTCTCATAAGTCATTCAGTTATACCAAAAAATGTGTGTCTTATATAAATATGTTCCAATAAGTTTATAAAATATTTTGAGATGTCTTTTAAAACATGTTTAAAATAAAGTGTCCATTTAATCTTTTTATATGATATTTTTTAGATCGGATCCGAAAAGACAAATCAACGGCTTGCACTTGTGTAACACCCCCATCCTGCGTAGAAATGGCCAAATGGGCCCGGGACCGGTTTGGGACCGCCGGTTAAGGACCGGTTATGGTTTTCATCCAAAAACAAGGCTAGGCCCGGGACCAGTTTTAGGCCCAAATCGATTTTTTTCCCCCTAAAAAATGTATTTTTGTATGTATTTTTAAATGTATTTCTAGCTTTCTAAGGGTATTTGATTGAAAATCAAATTACAAATTTACAATAGAACATATTTTTAAGTGTATTTAATTGAAAATCAATTATAAAACTATAATAAAACGTAATTTTTAAGTAATATTTGAATGAAAATCAATTATAAAACTATAATAAAACATAATTTTAAAGTGTATTAGACTAACATTAAAGTATTTTTTAAAAAATTATCAATTTTTTAAATATAAAAAGAAAATGTTTTACCTTGGGCCCACCTGGGATCGAGATCGGGACCGTTACCGTAACCGGTTACAAGTATCCTTAACCGGGCTTTAGTATTTTCAACGGGACTAGGACCGGTCCGGATTGTTACTGTTTTAGCCCAGGACCGATTCGGGCCTGGCTCGGGACCGGTTTTTGGCCATGTCTACGCATGGCTAAAGACGGAAGATTCCACAAATGTTTTTTTTAATTACAATTCAATGCATTCTATAAACCAGAGCAGCTAAATAATTTACCAAAAAATAATTACATAACCACAAACGGAGATAATTTATCTTAAAATACAGTCCCAAAATACAAGTATATACATTAGTCATCCAAAAGTTTAACAAAAGTATGTCATAATGGTTTATCTTCAGTATTGTCATCTTCGTAGCTTTTATCCCAAAATTCCTGCTAAGTCATGTACTTACCGAGGACAAGAAAATCTCCTTGAGCTTAATGCTCCATGAACGGATAATAATAACTAAACCATGAATATGAGATAACAAGTTCAAAAGAAATACATAATGTTAAGTGGAAATCAAAGAAAGTCAAAATTCCCCGAGGCATGTACTAAACTGCATCACAAGGACGCGTTGTTCCCAAAGGATGATCTGTCCGTTCGAGCATGAGTAAGGAAAGGGGTACGAGCACAAAACAACAATCCTCTCCGTGGATTTAA